ACCTTCATCTAATAAACAGTAGCACTCCTGAATATTGTATAGAAGTGATGATTGTAATAATTTGTGTATTAATTCATCACTGGGTTCATTTAACCTTACCATCAGTCTCTTACACTGGATCTGTAGTGAGTTATTGGTTAGTCCAGCAGTGAAGACTGATAGTGACTGGTTAGATACATAGTCCAGGTCCAAGTGATTCAATGTTGTGTTGGAATTGTTTATACAATAACTGAGACACAACCAGTCAAACAATGATAATGATACTCTATCCAGACACAGTGAGTGGTTGTTGATGGATTGTGCTAATACTTGACAAAATGTTGTGTTTTGTGATTCATACAGGAGTTGAAGAAGAAGAATGGGAACATTGTCAAAATCATCAGAACTAACATGACCATATTGACTAATCTCAGGATTCTGATAGAAGTAGGAGAAATGACAAGTCTCAAATCCAAACAATGGTTTCCTCTTGCACTGTAAGTCAAGTTGCTGTATATTAAAATACTGTTGATAGCTCTCATGTTCAAGGTGAGTTAGACCTGCCACAAATCTCAGACACATTCGAAAGTGATCATCATTAAAGTGATCCTTAAACACTTCCTCTGTCTTCTTCTCATGCATAGCTATCCACAATGCAGCTAGAAATTCCTGTATACTCAAGTGAAGGAACTGATACTTCTTCTCATCATATTCTGTGAATGTTGTCATCAATCCAAGATAGTCTTCCTTGATTGCCTCACTCAGTGACTGTAGTTGATGTGAAGAGAATGTCATTCTTATATTAGCCAGGTTAGTATAAGCTAATTGACACATCTCTTGTAAAGGTTTAGCTAATTGTGATGGTAATGAAGAAAGACTACCTAAAGTATATGGGTCAATGTCATGTCTTGGTTTTATTTCCACATGTCTTCTGATAGTTTGTAGAATAAAGTTCTCATACAGCTGAGTGAGTGTTGTTGGTAAGTGTCCTCCTTCCTTACTATAAACTAAGATGACAATGGAACAGACTAGTGGTACATAACACAATGATTGGACATCATTTCGTACTTCAAGATCATTAACGAGTTTCACTGCTAGTTGTGAGTTCTTACTGCTTTGAGTAGTTGTGAAATGTGATTTGTACTCCTTATTTCTTGTGTTTTCATCAATGAGTTCTTGTGCTAGTTTTGTATCTTTTTGAAGTGTTTGTATAATTACTGTTGATATTTCTTCCTTAGAAAACCCAATGACTTGAACATGCTTTGTACTGAGAGTATCCATTTTCAAAAGTGAAGAGGAAGCATAGCTACGAGAAGTAACAATTACTGAACATTGGTCTAACTGCTTTCTATGAATGATACTAGCAGCTAATGAAGACTGTCTGAGTTGTTTAATTAGTTCATCCCAACCATCAAAGATTATCAGTAACCCTTCTCCATCCCTCTCCTCAAACCATTCAGGTACATTTTTATATCTATTAAGTTGACGCACAAACAGGTCAGCTAGTGTAGTAGCTGTAGCTATCTTGCTATTCCTTAAAGGACAGTAAAGTACCAAGTCATACTGTTGGTGTACAAGTGGTCCATTAGACCACATATTTAACAGTTTACGACAGAGTGTGGTCTTGCCAATACCAGGAGGACCGTCTATTACTACTCTGAGAGACAGAGAACTATCTGTGGGTTGGAGAACATCTTCAACTCTTATCTCTTTGATTTCAGTTAGTTTAACTATTTTATCAACTTGTCCTCTTAGCATATGCCAAGCTGATATTTTTTCTGTGCTGGAGTCTTG